AATAAATTCAGTGAACAATTAGTTTTTTCGTAACCGTAACAAACGAAACTAAACACTAGAAAATGATGAGTTGAAATTTAACTTGGAACTGGAATTACGTTAAAGACACTATTGAAAACTGGAGACAATGTTCAAATAACAATGTTATTGGCATACAACATAGATCACATAGGACAAAAATTTACTATACTCATTTTCAACTCACCCAATCATGCAAATAATAAGTAAATCAATGCCGTTCTCTTACGTACATCGCTTTCAATCGAGACAGCTACAAAAGAATCTGAGAACATTTCGAAGCGTACAAACAAAAGCAAAGACGAAACGCACAGGAAAAGAGCGAATCAAATGAGACAACGAATGAGAGTTTATACAAATTTAGTGTTAACTGATCACAGTCGAGTTGATGTGTAGCATCAACTGAATATACATCTAAATGACCATAACACAGTTCACTGAGACACTGGCTAAAAACATTCAAGCAACGTACGGACAGCGATTCATCGATTCACTTCAGCAAACTCGATTCAAAAGTGTTAATGACAACCATCAAGAATCAGTCAAAGATTTCACAGCGAAAACGAAGTCAACAATGATCACTCATCATGAATTACGTAATCTGTACAAATTCACACAATTTCCTTCCACATACACGAAAGAGATACTTCAAAAACCAATAAACGATGCAAACGATACGTGCATCGCTGGATTCTTTGAATAGCTTTTCCTTGTTTTGTAATCAATAGATAAACATTTGAAAAGCAGTTTGATAATCCGAGAGTCAACAATCTATATTCATCGTTTATAATATCAAACGTTGTTATAATACTTTATAATAAAACATCATTTAATGTTCATACACCAATCAACTGTAAACACAAACATCTATCAGCTAAAAAAANAAAAAAATAGAAATAAAGTTATATTTTGCGTGATATATGTAACCACGAATTTTTTATGCGTTTATGGTCCTTTAACTGAAATTTGGAAGTGTTGCTGATTCAGATACAAAAGAAAACAGTAATGGAACGTACCAAAAGTGAATTTCAAAAATCTATTGTCACCCACACACATACAAATGCATATCTCGGATATTCTGCAATTAATTTAGCGACAATTTTCGAAATCAACAATTCTAAACGAAATGGTTTAACGGAACGTTGTCCCCGAAAATTAAGTGATTGAGCTGTAATCACAAAACCATAATATAATCTGTACAGCGCGGATCCGAACAAGGAGGCCTCCCAAATTCAACAGTTTCAGTGCTAATTGTAAGCTTAAACATTCAGAGCAAAGACCAGTTTATCATAATACGTTGACTTGCCATAATAAAAGCAAATTTCAAAAGATCGAATGAATTATACAAATGAAAATGAATGATACCTTTGAATTAAAGATGAATTTCAAACGGAAGTCTCCTTGAATGAGTTCGGTGATTTGGATTGTGATTGCATTGGTGGTATGGTCTTATCGACGGGTATCTGCTCAGGTGGAGGGATTGGCGGAGTGAGGGGAGTGGATTTGGCATCGGATGCCATGAGTGGTGGTTCGGGTGGAGCGGGTGGGTACGGAGTGACACCTTGAATGAATTCATCCAATGCAGCCATTTCCTCTTCCTTCTTCAACACCTCAACCATGCTCTTGATCTGTTCCGCACTTATTTTCAAATCCTTGTGCTGACTGAGAATTTCAATCGTCTGCAATCACCTTCACATTAGTCAAAAATTCATCCACTAGATGAATTGAAAACTTGGATGCCTCTCTCATTCTAATGAATGACTTTAGTGAATTTGCAGAAACGAAATGTAAAAATTGGTGTAACTCTAAAAGGAAGGGATACGAATACAGTAATGTTCAAAGTTAATGATCAGTGCTGGAAAGACGTTGCTTCAGTTTGTTTCTGTTTGATTTCGAAA